GTGCACACATTTATACTAAATGCCCTGGAGACAATATATAAATACACTAATCATTTTTACCCATGAACGTACAAGTTAATACACCTGCTACAGGAAAGCAGAAACTAATCGTATCTGCTTTTTCAGATTTACATAGTAAATACACGGACCCACATAAATAGAGGCATTAAATTAATCCAACAAGCAAACGCTACAAGTATTAACAAGAACAATCTGTATAGTACATATAGTAACAAAGGTTTTAAATTGAAAAGTGGAGTACAGTACATTTGGCGAAGTTCCCGGTCTTTGTCATGTACTTAACAATTGGAAGTTACAGATTGCTGGAAATGGAGCAGCTTAATTGTTTATTTCAGCTCGATCATATCTTAACTTGCCAGAATTTCCTGACATCGGTACATGCTTTTGTCCATGAATGCACTTTTAACTCACCCCATCAAATGCATTGTTCAGAATTTCATCTGAACAATGCACAAAAGTTTTTGTGCATTGTTCAGAAAGAATCCCATCATTAGACAATTTTAATATTAAAATAAGAATACTAGCGATCTATACAGTGCGTCTGAGGGGTCTCATAGCTCTTAACAGCAGGGGGGAGCGCACAGGGGAGTTACAGTTCTGAGCCAGTTTCACTGGAGGCGGTGTGCAGCCAGGGTCGGACAGAGAGCATCCCCTGTACTACAGCCCCCTGCTGCACAATCCAGGGACCGCTAGCCCATGTGGCAACGGCACTGCTGAGCTTTTACTTTTCAGTATTGCAATTATATACTTTTGCACTGGAACCCAAGTGTCCCAGGTAAGACTGCATTCTGTCCGGAGCTTGTGTGCAATAAAAACTTGATACCTTTACAGTTTTTGCATGGCCAGTATACTGTCCCAGAAAGAATGTGCAACGACATTGGTCATTTTCCCTCTAATCTAGCTTATGAAGTAGACGGTGACCCCATAGTGGTGACCCTACAGCTGCTGGAAAAGGCACCAATGGCCGTTTTTCCATTCAGGAAGTGTACTGGGAGTGAGGCGGGGGCACGGCGGCTCGTCGGCCAATCAGAACTCGGTGATGGTGTTGGGCGACGACACGGTGATCAGGGTGCGGCCGTCCAAGGGCGCAAAGAGAGGGTAGAGCTTCTCTTTGAAGGTGTCGGTGAAGGTGTAGATGTGCGACCTGCTCTCCACGTTGTAGAAGGACACCTGCCCTTCCTCGTAGTCCAGGTAGACGCCCACCTTGCGGGGCACCAGGCTGACAGGAAGTGGGGTCTCGGGCTTCGTGCAGGCCCAGAACTGCCTGGTGCTGCGCCACAGGGTCCAGTAGCCCTGCGCCGGGTTCATGGGGAAGCGGCCCTTTCTCTCGGAAGAGGCGGTGGTCACCCCGATTCTCCAGTAGCCATTGTTGGCCAGGTCCACCTCCCAGTAGTGTCGGCCCGAGGAGAAGCCCTCCCAGCCCAGGACGCAGGGCCAGCCATCGAACCGCTGGGGGCTGGAGGGCAGGTTCAACTCCTTCCGCCCCTCCTGCACCTTCCTGAGGTCGTCAGAGAGGACCAGCCAGGGGTGCACGGTCTGGGGGTCCAGGGTCACGTCCGCTGGACAGAGGAGGGAATACAGAAACAGCAGTTAATAACAATTCCCAACACTTCTACAGCACTTTTCTGGACACTCCACTTTACAGGTAATGGGGACTCCCCCTTCACCACCAGCACTGTGCGGCCCCACCTGGATGATATGATGGCAGCCATAGTGCGCCAGTACTCTCCCTACACACCAGCTTTCAGTGGGAGCAGAGTAATGAAGCCAGTTCAGAGATGAGGATTATTAGGAGGCCATGGATTGGTAAAGGCCAGGGGGGAATTTGGTCTGGACACCCAGGCTAACGCCCCAGCTCTGTGAGAAATGCCCTGAGATGTTTAATGACCACAGAGAGTCATCTCTCTCCCCATCACTATACTGGGGCATTAGGACACAGGGTGAGCCCCCCCTACTGGCCCCACTAAAACCTTAGCTTTTCCCAGGAGGTCTCTCTGCTCACCTGGTGAGCTTCAGTGGGCTGCCACCTGTGAGCAGCAGGTTCATAAATTGGCTAGCTTTGCAGTTGATGGAGGGGGGCATTCAGAAAACATACATAACCACATATGGCAACTCAATTTGAGCAACTTTAGTGTAAATCAGACTTTATTTTACACGTTCATAAGGGGTATCACTTGTCACTACAAAACCTACAGGCCTTGCCTACTGTACCTTTTGCTATAGATGATCAAACAAGCACAAACCACACTCTCAGCAAGGCTCTGCCAACCACACGGTTTCGCAGTCACAGTGCTAAAATCTCCAAGTTTAATTTGGCCACCTGTGTAATCCTTTCACAAGTCACACTCAAGACGAAACTAAGTCTCACCGTTGCGGTCATAGCTTCTTTAAAGCAAAACGGCTGTGGACCAAGAGGCTTAAACACATTAACAGCTTAAGAATACCACTGAGGGTCTCTGCCCAGTCTTAACCTTTCCCCTTTTTTAATAGTGGTTCCAGTTGGTCAGTGTTGAGAAATGAATTTGTAGGTTTTAGTGACCTTCTAGGACTGTGACGCGCACATCTGACACGATCACCGTTCAGTTTGGCCGCTAAGGAAAGACCCTGCAGGAGGTACCTTACCTGCCGCACGGCAGATCCAGCTCCACACTGGAAAAAGAGAAAAGACACGGCTGTTTTAACAGGAAAAGCATGTGTGACCTGCCCTCAATACTTTCTTTATTCACTGGCTTGATATGGAATCCGCATGTGTGAATCCGCCAGGTTCACAGACTGTATACTAGTCATCACCTGACAATGTTTAAAACATAAGCAAAGCTGAGGGAACTGTGGTGAACCAGAGACCATCATTGTCTACTAGTGCCACAGCCATGAGTCAAGTTATTTCACATGTGATCAAAAATGTTTAAGGGCTTATATTCTTTATGGTCCCAAGTTCTGCCTTCAGAAGATTAACAAAACATAAAACTATTAAGTATTCTGTGTTATAGTGAGTGCAGATGACCTGCTAGGAACCAACATCTTCCAATTATTTTGCAAAATGGCAAAGGGTATTCTCGTATGTATATGCTGCATCAAAGAAAAGAGTGAATAACTTTGCTGAGCACTTCTAGAGCCTCATTACAGTCCCTTAATGGAAGGGTTACCACTTTATTACTAATGGATTTTGCAGATAACATTTTGTGCAAAAAGAAAGATGCGTATACTACCAGAGGCCACTTAGAATACTACAAACATGGAGTGGGGGCTAATACAATATGGTTGGGTACCTGAATTGGGAATGTATCTCGGTGTTCCTGGAGAGGAAAGATTGAGAAACACAGAGTTAGAAAGAGAGACCTTTGGAATGTGAAGCTGTCCAACTTGTCATTAGGAATGGGGAAGCTTCTCTGCTGTGACAGGGCTGTCATAACTGTTGTGGGTCACACAGCCCTCCATCAAGAGCTGCATCATGATTAATTCATCATTAACCAAACAGCAAGATGAAACTTCATCTAGAACGATGGCTGACGGTTTAAGAGATCCTCCATGAACTTGATCTGGACCACGTAGTAGTCCAGTTAGGAGCCCATGTAGCAGTAGTCCAGTAGTCCATGGTCCAGTAGACCATGTTAGTTACAAAAACTAGCTGTGTTTGCAGTGCCACCCTCTTGTTTATTCTGGAACCTATCTTGATGAACTCTGCTTAGCACGTCCACCTGCCAGCACTCAGACGCTAGAACCTCTGCCTCACCTGCTTTCCAGGTCCTCTGTTTTGTGGACAGCCAGAGCTGAGGAACAGTACCCTGGGTAAAAAGCAACACAGTCAGTGCCCTGGGATCCTCCAAATGTCCAAACTCCACTGCCATATTATTGTCTTCAGTTTCCAGTGCTGTGTTGGCACAGACCAACCTAAAACACTGCTGGTTAGAATCTGGAACTCCAATACATCAGCCGATTGTATCCTTTGACTCTTAATTGGTCAGACATACTTTTAATCTTGAACTCTGAGTGGTGAGCTGATTTTAACCCAGACCTATGATTGATCAGGCAGTTTTGACTCTACTGACTCAACGCTACAAACCTACCCAGAAGACACAGGTTTGTACGTCAAGTCTTAATTGAGATCTACCTTCACTCTGATACAAGTAGAACTACCTCATGAAATCAGACAAAGTATTCACACTCTTGCTTCATTAATGGCAATGCTAGGACAGTGTGCATTAGTGTGCAAGCTATGACAGTCCTTTAGAAAGAGACTCCTGGAAATCTAAGTTCACATTCCAGATGCTGGGCTCTGGCATGTAATGGACCTGGGTATGTGCATGAAGAGAGGGGCTGAATTGTATGCCAATGTGCACGCTCAGCTCTTTCACTCAGAGCAAAGAGCAAGGACTATTAATAATTGCAGCAATATCTCACTGGGTGAAAGCTTGCATGGCCTTGCTGTAGTCCTTATCTCTTGATATAAGTGATTTGGACAGTTATTATTAAATAGAGCACCACCTGCTTTAAGAAGTTTCCATCAAGGTGTTTGCCAAGGTCTGATCTGCAGTGAATTTCTGTCTGGCCTTACCTTGGCATCATCCTTGAGCAGAGACCAGGTGATGAACTCCAGGAAGGGCAGCACGCTCACCAGCCTCCTCTTCCTCAGGCCCAGGAGGTGAAGCATCTGAGTCAGTTCCTCCCCAGGCAGCCCGCAGTTCTGCACAGGGGCACAAACGGGTCACGACGACACATCCCAATACGACCTGCCGTTTCGGTTTCAACATGGCACTGATCATTGGGGATACCCTGGAGCTGGGCTCCCTGACACACCTGCTGGGTTTCGTTTCATTCTCACTTGAATGAAGAAGTGGCTCAATTGGAATATTTTCAAGTTTTTCTGCTCAGAAGTTTGGGGTTTTATGTTCGTTTTGAAACGCAATATTTAAAAGGTGACCATGTTCAAGATCTGAAAGCACATTTGAGTTCATCCTATTAAGTCAATCAAGGGTTCAGTTGTTCCAGCCAGGCTGTTACCCAAGAACCAGCTGGGTGCAGGTCCCCAGGACCACGATTAGGAACTCCTATCCAAGTGCTTTGTGAGATTTAAAAAAACAGCATGCCTGGATGGAGAACACACTCCAGCTATAAATTAGACATAGATTGAAATGCAGGTTTGTAGACTTTTTTGTTAAGATCTCGGAATAATAAACAGAACTCGATGTGATCTTCTTCAACATTTGTTAAAATGTAGCAAATAAACAACGTTCAAGGACAATAAGGACCAAGTGCCGAGCTCTGCATTACTGGCCCAACTAAAATTGTCTACAACCTGTATGGGAATCTTCTCCTGGTCCAGGAAAGTGGACAGCCTTTTTTTCAGAATTGCTACTATTTTTGAATCAGCTGTCCTGTCAATGTCAGCCCATACCATTCTGAAATACACTCAGCTGGGATCCCCGGGAGCTCAGGGACAGAATGAGGGCCTCTTCACGAAATGCATGAGGTTGATGGTTTCGGGCCCATTCTGAGCAGAGGCAGAACGAACACTGTAAACAGTTCTTATGAGCAAAAATGGTATGCACCTGCTTAAAGGCAGTCCCCCAACCCGTCATCATACAAAACCTGCCAATATCGAAATGGGCAGGATTGATGTGGACATACAGTAGGCATGCCCCACCCACAGCCGGCATTAGAGCCACCATGGCTGTGCGTGACCCCAGCGTGACCAGCTCCACTCAAACGCTGACCTCTGACATGGTCTTCAGCTCCCTGGCCCACTCCATGATCCTCTGCTTCTCCTTCTCACTGGGGTCGTCCGTCTCCCCCTCACTTCTGTCAGCCTGCTCTTCCGTCTTGTTGCTCAATCTCCTTGGCTTGGAAAGCTGAGAGAGGGAGAGTTTTACCATCTTGACTGCTCACCGCCCACAGTCCCCACACCCTGCTGCTTCCTGTATAGGACAGGCAGCGTGCCCCCCCCCCCCCCCCCCCCAACTCAAACATCAGTGCTGCTGCCACAGTTTCTCCAATCACACTACAGAGCAACAAGTGATTCCCGACACTCCTGTTGGTTTCAGGTCCAGGAATCCCGTGTGCAACTTGCCCTGCCTTCCTCCCAGCCCTTTACCTGGGCAACGCTGTTCAGCTCGTCCGCCCACTCCAGTATGAGGCGGCGGCACTCCTCCAGGCTGCGGCCTGTCCGGGGACTGGCCAGGGGACCCCCGTCCTGGGCCGGGCCAGGTGGACCCCGGCTGGTTCCCTCGCCCGGGTCCTCTCTGGCTCGACTGCCGCGCTGCAGAGGAAGCGAGCGAAGCCTCTGTCAGCGGGGTTACTATGGTCACGGTAAAGATAAATGGGTTGGCTCTTTTTTTTTTGAGCCGCACACGATCGCAGGTTGTGAGAAACGAACCCGCACCCGCCCGACCCGATTTAAAAGGATAAAAGTACTGACCCGAACCCAGTCCAAACCCGCTCTATTAGAAATTACATGAACAGTAGTGATGCGCAGTTGTGAGTCAACCCACGTATGAGTCGCTAATCAGGACTCAGCCCATAGTCAGTACATGGACAATACACAATGTATAGTCAGTGCAGTCAGTGTAGAGTCTGCAGAGTCACAACGCAGCAGTTAGGACATTGAAAGTCCCTAGCCTTTGCCCTCTCCTTGACTCCTCTGTGCTGCTCTGACAGTGCTTATTGACTGGCCTGGGCCATAAACGAGGTTGGCCAACTATTAATTAGGCCAATTATTACTATGTGTCAGATAGATAACAGTCCCGTTCTGGGTGCGTTTCTCTCCCATGGTAACACAAGATGACTTTCGTCCTCTCTGCCGGGAACACCAGAGGCAATTATCAGAGAGGTCAGGAGAGGGGGGTGTATATTACAAGATGGGGGTTGTTTGGAGCTGATTTTCCTATCACTGCCAGCTTTTGCCACGTTGACACAGTTCCAAGGGGCAGGAGCTGAACTTTCACACACACACACACACACCACAGGCCACCAGCACAGCGAGGAATCCGAAAAGCCCAGAGCCATGTGCCTCAGCAGAAACAATTGATCTCCTGTTGGCATTGTTCAGAATACTTAAAGCAAACAAATGATTCAAAATTAATCCTGCAAAAATCACATGTGATCGGAAGACCTCCCTAGACAAAGGGTGGCAAACTGCATACTTTTCGAAGGGGCAGAGCAAGACTGCTTTAGAAACCTGCAAAATAAAGTTACGAAAAAAGCTAATAATTTCTTGATTTACTTCTTTTCCTTAAAGAGGAAAAACCATTCGAGCTCAGAAGAAACTCCTTAAGATTAAGATTAAGGGTTCATGCTTGTTAACTAATGGAGACAATCCCTGAACCCAGGCTCTGCAGCCTCAGCCTAAGAAAGCTCTGAAACGAGAGCTCGTTCGGCCTGATTGGAAGCTAGAAGGTACAGTATCTGAGGATTCATGGATCTCAGCCACTTCCTGAAGGAAGACAAAGTATCAGCTTCAAGCTTCAAGCTGATGCGACACCATTACCGAACCCACAAGTTGAAAGTGGCAGTGTGGTGCTTCATGGAATGAACACCGATAAGAGATAAGCACCCCTGGAGCTGGGGTTAAGGGCCTTGCTCAGAGATTCCTCTGCCGGCCGCGGGATTTGAACTGGCACCCTTCCAGCCACAGGCGCAGATCCTTAGCCACAGAGCTGCTCCTCCGCCCAGTAGGTATATGTGTGGGTCACCAGGACCATCTTTCTGTCAGCTTCATGAATTGTTTGGGAATAAGGCAAGCACGGAACCATGCTCAAGGCCAGACTGTCCAATCTGAGCCCTGTGTCTGCAAGTTCTTATTTTTAACTCAGCTCATTATGGACTTGACAGGACTTGGTCTTGAGGTGCTTGTGCAGTCTGTCTGCTGAGCAGTGAAGCTGGGCCTTGCTATTTCAACAGGACTAGAGAGAGGAATAACTCCAGAGGAAAAATGATCACTCAGCTCTTGGGGACTGAGATTGGAGAGCCTTCACCTTTAGTTCTACCTAAAAGAAGATTAGGAATAACTGCCAGCAGTAGCCTCCTATAGTAGGAAAGTAAACACGCTACATAATTACCCATACTTATCTCTCCACACAAGAATCCTGCTTACTTTGAAAGGATAAAAACATTGATAAGAACTCATCTTCTCTCCCATCCCTCCCTCTCCCATGATACCTTGCACACGTGGTCCACCTGCTCGGCCCACTGCGTGATGAAGTTCACACACTCCTCCAGGCTGCGCAGGTCACTCAGGCTCTGCCGGGAGAGAGGGTCTCGGTCAAGAAAGAGCACCGTGCACCACTGGGGCCGAACACACAAAACAGCCTGAGACACCCCAGTATATAGTCACCACTGAAAAGCGGTGAAGGACAATAAGCACTGACTTGACATATTCTACATGCTCCCCTGTGCTTGACAAGCTGTTCGGCACTGACTAGATCAATTGATCTAGTCTGATATAATCAATTCATCAGGTTTCACTTAGCACAGCGGTTCCCAATCCTGATCCTTTTGGGTTTTGTTCCAGCCGAGCCCTCTGTTACACAATCAAAGCCTTCACTCACTTAATAATCATAAGATTAAACTGAGCTGCTTGTTCCCAGCTCTCACACACAATAAAATCCCACACTTGTGATTATTCCAATGAAGCAACTTCTTAGATCAATTAAGGCTTGAGTTATCTAATGAAAGTGGGATGGAATGAAAACCAATAGGTGTGTGTGGGTCACCAGGACCAGGATTGGGAACCGCTATCTTAGCGTCTCTCATTTCTATCCAAAATTATTTGAGTGACAAGTGCGTAGACAGCTTAACTGTTCCACACAAATTACACACCTTGTTTATTCTCCTTTGTTGTTTATATCAAGCTTTAAACCAGGCACCCCAAAAAGTCTTCCCTCTGAGAGCAAGAGCACATCCTGGGCACAAGGACTCACGGGAGATCCTGAGCTCAAAGGAACCCTGGCCTGTGACTGGTCACACACCCAGCCCGCGAAATCTGGCAATCTGAGCAAAAGCTTTCGGACCAGATCCCTGGCGCTCCGACCAGATTCTTGGCCCCCAAGAGCCGTTTTCGAGATCTCGTTTAACTGCACAGTTCTGAACCCCCGGGCCCTTCACAGTCATTCCCTCAAAACCCAGCGCCCCAAAGGCAGAGTCCAGGCTCCATTCTCTGCAGGTAGCGAGGAGGATCAGCTCCTAGTGGAAGTGTACGCACCCTCCCAAGAGGTTTCTGTGATCGACTGAGGTCAATCAGCGGGAAAGCATTTGAAACCATGGTGAAAAACAGAGTCAAGATGTGACATGACATATACAGTAGAGGTGTGGTAAAGTACAGACCTGTACAGCAGAAGAATATTAAAAAATGTGCATATTTTTCCCTGCTCAACTCCGATACTGTTTTGATATACACTACAAACAAATATTTGCAAGCTTTTCTCAGCCACTTCCAGCACCAAATGCTAAAGACATCCTTTCAGCAAACAATGCTGACCCAAAACACGCCACCGAGTGAGGAGCCTGCTTTGTGCTCCTGGAATGGGAATTCTGTGCAATCTGGCACTTGTGCATTTCCAGCGAGGACTGGCCCTTGCTAATCTGCCCCCCCCCTCCACCCCTGCAGGCTCTGTCCCACCTGCTGTCGGCCGTTGGGGAGCTTCTTGCTCTTGAAAGGTGCGCTTGTGGGCACGGAGCTGTGGACCTGCACCTCCTCCTCCGGCAGCTTCCAGCGAACCGCGCAGATGGTGTGGCTCTGGGACGGGAGCTCCCGGTCCAGGACAGGGGAGCCTGGCGCTGCGGCGGGGAGAGGGAGGGAGATGGTGATCGACCTGGGCCTCTCTGCGTTCAAGACCTGCGGCATCCTTCCCTTTTCACTCATCATTTGCTGGTGACCTAATTCAACTGGATGATGCAAAACTCACGCCACACCCTGGATTTGAAGACCAGTGCAAGACCTAAGATTTGAGAATAAGGGGGTGCTTTGTACATTTCCAGGTTGTACTGTAACCAGACTCTCTCCAGGACTGGAGAGCTGTGGACAAGAGCGGTCATCTCATTGCAGGTCGCTAGACACAGAGCACAGGTAAAGACACAAATAAAGTACACCAAGACAGAAGGAAGGCAAAATAAAATACCTTCCATCTGAACTTTCAGAATGCTCTTCATTTTCAGCTGGGTGAGCTTGCGGCCCGTTTTGCTCTGGTCTCCGGAAGTCCTTCTGAAAAGGGCGAACATATCATCAGTGCAAGCAGCACCTGTACGCAGGGGAGGTGGAATCAAGCTGATGATGAGCAAGGAGTTTGCCCTTGTGTGTTTATCACAAGCCTTTTGGCCCAGCTAGCTTGTTGGGTTGACTTCCAGTAGTTAAATGATCCAAGAATCTCTCCCATCCAGCTAATTCTTAAAAATGAAAGCCCGAGTATCAACTTAACATGGCTGGGCAGCTTGTTCCAGACTCCCGCAACCCTTTGTGTAAGTAAGTGCCTCCTGGACTGAGTTTTAAAAGCAATTTCCATGAGTAAGAGTTCTGTTTCATTTGTCATTAAGATAGAATACAGATAGCAGAAGGATTATATAAAAGAGTAGCATACCAGTCTAAAGGTTCCATGATTTCCATACCTACAGTCTACAGTTCCATGATTTCCAGTAAGTGTATATGTAATGTGCATAGAAAACCCTATTGAACATCATATAACCCCCATAAAAAACAATTATTTTATATGTGGGGTATACATATAATCTATATATCATGAAGTTTTCATCTTACAGAAATTTAGGAACTTGCACTTTTCTGTACAAAACCACAGTTTACTTCAAAAGGAAAAATTTGGAAGTAATTTTGAGGTCACTACCCTTCTTGAGAGAAACATTGTTTTGTTTGGGCAAAATAGCTGCCTTTCGATATTTTAATATCGAAAGCAAACCATGCCGATCCTGTTCAAACATGTTTTTGTTATTGGATGACAAGCAGTTCAGTTTGTCCTTTTTAGATCTTCAACAAAGTGAAGGTGTAGGTATTTCCACACATCAGTCTTACAGAAAGTAACTGGGGAATAGTACTCAGCTGTGTCAAATCCTTACTTAATCTCATTTACTATCATTCATTTCTAGAATGATCTTATTTCATGCAGTTTACACAGCATATCACAGTGAATTGAGGCACATCTGTCTGTCAGCAGCTTAATCACCCAAATGGGGACTATTTAATTCACAGAGTCCTTGATGTCGGTATTTGCAATTAAGGAAATCGAAGGACTTTGTTCAAAAGCAGCATTCCGGTGTCTAACAACATGCAGAAGGGATTGCTTTTGCACTCCTCTTTGCTCATTTGACCCAAATAGATGCAGAATAGACATTATAAAAGTAACCAATCAGACCCAATTAATCTAAAATCCCTTGAATGCAGTTCTTAGTACCAGCGCATATGCTGCACACACAGAATAAAGAAAACATGAACCTGGAGAATCTGACACTTCCACCCGCAGAACATATATAAGCCTTTACAATTATCTATAAATGCCACGAAGGCAGGCCTGTCATTAAGAGATCAGGAAATGACAAATATTTAACAGCAATAGCAAAAACGTTGCAAAACTGTGAAGATGCTTACAGTCTGGAGAGGAGAGTCGCCAGGGTGCAGGTGCTCTCTGAGGAGGCAGGCAGAGAGTGGGGCTGTCTTCTTCCGTCCTGAGCTGATATATAAAACCTGGACTTTGTGCCCTCTCTTATTTATTGCTCTGCGCTCACATGGACAGAGATAACGGGGGAGATGGTTGAGGGGAAATGTGTCTGAGAATAATTTCCTGGCAGTACCAGTGACTGGGTGAAAGTCATCCAGCTGTCACAGCCACTGTGCCTTTTACTGCAATAACACTACACTACAGGTAACAGGAAAAAAAATCAATATGACCCATGTGACATGTGCTGCCCAGCAATTAAGCAAATGCTCAGGAACTGAACATATTTTTATATAATGTATTTAATCATCTTTAAAAAATGAATAACTAGCATTTCAGTTGCCTAGAAACTAGAAACAACAGTTATACCAATTTTAAAACAGCTCTATCTGAATAACGTGAAAATATGCCACCCATTGGGTATAGTTCTAATATACTGGTATACTGAGCAATAAAACAAGGTGAACTTACAGTATTCTTTCTTTTAGGGTTAAAGACAATATAACATGATTAAGTAATTGGTTTAAGGAAATCATGTATTTATTTTCTGGTAGCGCTGCTGCAAAACTCCTCAATCAGTGCAATATCACCATAAAACCCTGGCTTTGCAGCTCTCCAGTCATGCAAAGGTTCATGAGCCCTCTAAAACCAGCAGGAGTGTGAGCCCATAAGCTGTCTGATTTGGGGGAAAATGAGACCATTGGCAAGACTGGCATTACTGCTTATTCTTGTATTAAACATTGTTTCACTTTGTGACGACACCATTTGGTTTATAATAATATTATATTATACTCATATGGAGCTTTACAGGTAATGGGGATCCCCTCCTCCACCAGCAATCTGTAGCCCCACCTGCACCCCACCAGCCAGAGGGCTCCAGTCCACTCCCTACACCCCAGCTATCTACGGGGAGGAGAACAGAGGGATAAAGCCAATCCATAGATGGGGATTATTAGGAGGCCATGACATCGGGATAACACTGTTTAAAAAAAAATGCCTTGGGATTTTTAAATGACCACGGAAAGTCAAGACCTCAGGTTAATATCTGATCCAAAGGACAGTGCCTTTTCGGCATACCCACATTAGGGCCCACATAAACCACAGGGTGAGCGCCCCCTACTGGTCCCACTAACACCCCTTCAAGCAGCAACCATCAGTGGGCTAACGGCGATGAGTGGCAGGGTGATATAGATGCAGGCAATGCACATATTGGTTAGGCTTCCGAGCAGAGCTCAACTTCTAAATGTCTCCAGGACATCTAGCAGTGCAGAAGTCAAGAAGTCTTGATGCAAGGAGGAGCTGTCCCAGAAAACTTCCTGTGGCCTTCCTGCTGAAAGAGTGTCCAGAAATGATACAGACTTGCATCAGTGATCATGTGTGAAATTATATTGTCAGACTAAACGATTGACACCCAGATCCAATTTACAATCTGAGTAACTAAAAAAATATATAACTTGTTCAGTAGCCTCTTAATAGCTAAGAGCCACCTAACAACCACATTTTTATAACTGAAAACATATATTTATATAGCTTTTTGAATATGCTCATAGAAAGTTAAGGATTAGTGCTTTGTACTCTCTTTAAACTTGGTTTAAATGTTGCTAGATAGCTATAATTGGGATAAGTAATGAAAAGGCCTCACCCATTGGACACTGACTGAACAGAATTCAGAATTAAATCATAAATGATCGTTTCATCTAAATAAACGGACCGGAAGAGGGTAAATTTACCATGATCTTTGCATGAGGTTTAAGGGTAACTCCCCTTCAGGGCGCTTTAAACGGATTTACCGGACCAGGTAGCAACCCCGAATCGGGCGAACACTAGAGAGTTTCGAGAACAGTCCCCTATAGAGACTAGGGAAAGTTTCGAGAACAGTCCCCAGCAGTAGCTATAGCTACAGCACGTCTCCGCCGGGTTACCTCCCTCCCCGCGCTAAGCGTGCAACGCTGATAAATAGGTTGCCTGTCGAAGGGGTTGTTGTCAAGGTAACCGGGCAATTAATGTCCGTCCCACGCCCCTGTGAAGCCCGTTTTCACTTGCCCTCGTCATTGCGATAGTGGAGTGTTTCCCTCAAACAGCGAGATAAAACCCGATGCGTCCTGATAGCCTTCCTGGTTGACTGAAACTTCAGACTCATCAGCAACACTGGGGAAGACTCAGAGGCTTTAATAATCAATAAATAACGCCCGTCTCTCAGGAGTGAGTCAGTTCCTAAATCCCTAATCAGCAGGCCCTATCCCCTGGGCTCACACGGGAGCGGCGTCTGACGCTATTAACCTGGAGTCGAGTTTGACCTGCCGGCCTCCTGCTTCGTTCCTCGGAGTGACCCCAAAGTGGGCTGGATTTTCCGTATCTCACCTCCTACTGCCTTACATTTTCCGGAACCTACTTCCTCGTAAAGCCCTCTTCAAAAAAACAAGGCGTTTCTTCGTATCTAAAGACGTTACATTGACGGAAGAACAACTCATTCGGCTTCATTACCTTCCTCCTGACGTTTTCATCCTGCCACATTTATTTTGGCCAGCTAATACATTTGTAGATCTGAACGCTTACCCCCATCCTACAGTATATACTCAGACATCACGACTTTGAAAAACTTATTTCAGGGAGGGGTTGCGGACCGGGGGGAATCGCAGCTATATAATCACATAATTCGCTGATCGATTCGTTGAACTCACCAGTCCAGATGAATAATCTCACTTTCTTTGCAAACTTAAGTTGTACAGAGATGCGGCTTGTTTAGCCGATTTAAGCAGATTCTCAGATGGCTCAAGGTCGTATTATATAATTAAATAATTCGCTGATGATTTTTCGGACCGGGGGTGTCGCACACGGAAAGAGTTGGGAGCGGGGGGAGATTTCCGGGACATCATGGATCCCCCCCACCACCAGTGTGCAGCCCCACCTGGATGATGCGACGGCAGCCATAG